ACTATTTCAAGCATTCTGATCTGATAAGAAGTGACAGTAAGATCGTCATTGCTGTCTGTTGGCTGCCATGACCTTCATTGTCTCCAAACATACGGTTTCGGAGTCTTTTGGACTCTAACCCGAAAGACGAGAGACATCTGCTCTACCTAATCGCTCTGTGCCTTCGCTCCTCATGCCTCGTCTGGACGTCACCTGCTGACCTCCACGTGACTCTCTCCAGCTTGTAACAGCCGCGGCAAACTATTGTATCATAATTTATTTGGCACAGTCTGTATTCAGACGTGTATGAAAAAATATATATACCTAAGACAGTCCCTCGTCCCGACCCATAGTCTACTTTGATGCTTTGGAAACCTTGAGTACTGCACCCATGTCCTCTTTTCCCCTACAGCTCTATGTACAACGTCAATTATCTGCTATTATTCACGGCTCAGACACTGCATCTGCAACAAAAAGAAACATGCCTTTTTAACTTGCTGGTATCTTCTCATAGCTTAAAACTCTTCCTGTGTGAAGACTCGGGATGACGCGATTTCACGTGCCTTCAACTTCAGCTCCACAGGATCTACTCTCTTTTCCTTCTCCACTAGTTCGTCGTCCGACGAGTGTGGCACATCAATCCACCAACCGTCATCTAAATCAGTTGTAATCTTCGACTGTTTTACATCCGTTTGACGAGAATTCGTCGTCGATTTATCGTCTTTGTCATTTCGTTGGTCTTCTTCCTCTATTTTCTCATCATCCCAATCTTCCTCCTCGCCACTGTCTTCGTCTCCTGAACAGGATTCCCAGACACCATTATCCTCATCGTTTTCGACCTCGAGGGGAGATGAAACAGTGGTTGTTGGTTTTAGACACACGGTGTCCATACCGATGTCAAGGTAACTGGTTCTGTTTTAGAATCTTGTGGAAATAAAAGGATGAACAAAGGTACACTGCCCTTTTATTTTTTACCGGATTTACTGTTCATAAATCATGTCTTGTTTCTATTCACTAACAGTCATCTCTTTTGATGAAATCAGGTTGGCAGGCGGGTAGTAGCCATAGACCTGATCCTTAAGTACACACCGTTCGCGTTTGTTATAATTTCGGACTGATAGGAGGGTAACGCTAGTCCAACTCTTTGCATTCGTATTGACTGTACCTAACTTCCTAAAAATTGATTGCACAATTTGTACACCATATTGTATCATTTTCACACACGTTTGAGTGCCAAACAAATCACGATACATTTTTCTTTATAAAACTAAAAATCTCCATGATTTGCTCTTGCGCACAATATCAGGTTCCCCAGGCCAAAGCAGGTGAATTTTCTTGGAAAATGCACGACCGGAGTCTTTGACCAGCTAGACGATGGGGCGGTGTAAAACATCGCAATCCGTTGGGGATACAGTCTCCAGTTCATCGGGTCATAGACCGTTTGTACAAGATCAAACTGCCAAAATTCCCAGTAAAATCGGTGGCTGCCGCCGGAATCATGAAATTAGTGTGTGTGGTTCGTACACCTCTTAATAGGTTTTCAACCATAATTTTATCCAAGTGTCCCCTGTGAACTACCAGTGGTTCAACGACCCGGATTTTACCTTGGATGTTGTTTTTTCTCGCTCCTTATTTGGTGGGAACACACTGCCATGGGAAGGTATTGAGTAGGATTCCCTCAGGAAAGGTTATTTGAAACACTTGGTTCTACGGGATCATTTCGCGAGGTGCGAAGGAAGGGTGAACAGCCACCACCCAAGGCACTCATTCGTGATCAAACTGAGACTGGGTACAGAAGGTGAAAGAAGATTAAAAAAATTAAGTGATAGCGTCAACTGAAAAGCTGACCATTCATCTACGCTCATAGACCGCATGATACTCTCTCATCATCGAAAACAACAGTTCACTCACCGAAAATTTTCTCATTATTGTCATGAAGTATTCCCACAATAAATCAATCAGCTTATGCTAGCGTTTTGTCCAACCTACTCAATCCAGTGCGTATCTTTTGTTCTTGAAATACCCGCAACACAAGATATAAGCATCATTTATGGTTTGTCTTTTGCAGGATAATCAATTTTCGTAAAATGACCGGTGCGTTGCATGTTGCCGTTTTCTTCGATACCACATGTCAAGAATATCCATTTCTCGGGCACGGATATGTCTTACGTGGAACAGTGGGTGACGGTCCAAAGGGGGTTGAAAGTATTCCACCCATTTTCACAGTACCCCTTGTAGGTTTTATTACTATATTAATTAGATATGGTTTGTTTCCCATGTTTGCGAAAGTTGGCATACTTTTATGTTTCGCTTTTTCACATAACCGCCCCTGATAAATATTAGCCAGTGACCAAATTTTTATTCATTTTTAGCGAATTGCAATAGTCAACCTTTTAAGATTGGAACGATATGGACTCCGTTAAGTGCTAATGGCAACGTATATACTTACATACTGATGCAATATAAAAGCCTGCATTGACTTGTATTTCTTGACGTTCCAATCCAAACTGGGACCCGTCTGACCTGAAAAGGTCACTTTCCTCTACATGTTGTCATATGCTATCCGTTCTTTCGTTGCNCCATCCTGTGATACCGGTTCGGCTAGTGTGAAGTAGTTTTATTGTTTTCTCGGTGCCTCTTAATCGAGTGACAACCTTCAAGATTTTAAGCTCAAATGACAACCGTTAGTGTCAATCTTGATTTCGTGACCCGTTTATGTACAGTGGTTCGTAATTTGCGTTTGTTGGTTAGCTCATCCAGAAGTCAATTTGGGCTCATTTTGCCTAATATGTGCATATTTGCCTGCCTTACCTATCTCTTTCTTACGGTGTTTTCAAATGCATGGAATGGTGTAGATTACTCACTATTGGCCCTCTAAATATCCTGATTTGTAAAAACGGGTACAGCTCAATGCTACCAAGCGCTTCTACAGGTTGCAGCTGGGAGCTCCGCTCATGGGCAGGCAGTGTCAGAGA